GAGAATATGGAAGTTTCAATTCATTGTTTTTTCTGAATTTATAAGTAAATTAAATACTGTATTTACTCAAATCTAAGATATGTTAACATCCATAACTCAATTTATTAAAATAACCAATTGATACACTGGATTTTTATCAGTCTATTTTAAGTCTGATTAATAATCTGAAAAAAGTAATTTGAGTAGAGGTAGGCAGTTAGGCCACCATCTTGTGATAAATTTAATAATTATAAATAAATAAAATTAATTTAGAATACTCTGGAACTTGTAGTGAGGTCTGAATATTGAATTGCTGGTCTGGATTATGTATTCTGAACTATTAAGCTAATGGAGAGAAGAGACAGAGGAATGAGTCATCAGTTGTGTTTGGTTTCTACACTGGCATACAAAGTATTGTATGCTGTACTATTTAAATCAAACTATTTACAATTAATGAGAGAAATTGCACTTTCTTTCTCTGACTATTGCTATGAAATCAGGTGTATATGATTTCATTGTAATTTGTAAGCATTGTTCGAAATGACAATGAATTAGGCAGCTCTTGTACTTGTTTTCAATGTAATTTATGTGGGAGAAAGCCAAGTGAAAAGACAGAAAGCTTGGAAACTTGTAATCTGAAATACAGTCTGCCGGTTGAGTAGTACTGCTCTGGAAGAATTGGCTATAAATGAGATTTGAACTTCATGGCAAGTGGAAGTTGCAGGTTCAAGTCTCACTTTGGATTGATTCTTTTCTTTCAGACTATTATAAACTAAATTAAAATTAATTATCTTTTAATTTAAATTTATCACAAGATGGTAGCCTAAATGCCTACCTCTAGCCAAATTATTCTTTTCAATTATTAATTAGACTTAAAATAGCATGATAAAAATCCAGCAGATTGTTTGGTCACCTTAATTTTCACATGTTCACCTATGGATTTTTATTTTTAAATAAACAACTGGAAACAAGTGTAATGTCAACAGAAGTGTTCTGTTGACATTACTGAGCAATAAACACTGAACAAATTTAAGTTATATATCACTGTCTGCTGTGGTATCGAACCATTTCACTTTACATTTTCTTAGTGTTTATTTAAAAGATCAGTACTGGATTCAATGTGTGCGTCTTCCCATATGCAATCATCCCTACTGTTGGTTAAATAATCAGAAATTTAACATTTCTTGAAAGAGTGGTGCACAATCACAATACTTATATTATTGTAGTAGACTAACAAGTGTGAGCTGAGTTGATGTCTTAAATATTTTCTATTATAAATATTATAAATATAAGCCTAATTATATTGAAACATAAAAACTACAACAGCATAAGCAAACTGGAATGATATACAGTTTAACCTGATTATAACGTTATCAGATGTAACGACAACCCTAATACAACGTCAAATTTTTATCGGTCCCATGATTTTACTATATTAGATAACATTTAAAAACCCACTGTAATGACATAAAACCTTGTTTTAATGTCATATTTAAAGCACTATCAGATTTACAAAATTAGATTACGAATTTTATTTAACAAAAAAAATACAATACATATACTATGTGTTCAGTTTCTAGGTCAGAGAGAGTCCACTTCCTAGAACAACTGTGGATGATACCATCTGACTTCGGTGAGATGAGGTTCATCACATCTTTAAATGATGTGACGATCGGTTAGTCTGCATAGTTATTCGTGTTATGTTATACAGATGCAGATATTGTTGAGCAAATTAAATCTTCAGGTGAAAAAAATGAGGATGATGAAAATGATAATGATGAAGATAAAACATCAGACAGACAGAAAATGAAGTGCCGCCAACCAGGGAAGTGCGTAATGCAATAAGATTATTGAAAATGTTTTACAAGTCTCAGAAAACTTCGTCGAAAATAATGAATAAAGTGTATGATTTAGAAAATGACATTGAAAAACAATTTTTAGGTGAAAAACACCTACAATCTAAAATAACTGACATTTTTAAGTGAATATTATTGTTGTGTCTTTTTAATTGGCATACATTAGTTTAACCTTTTGTTGCCTTTTGATTCGACATTGTTCTCAAAACTGAAAGTGCCACCATTATCGAAACGTAAGATAAATAGAAATTTCTTATAAAAGATAATTTTTGGAATTTTTTATTACATCAATGTAAACTTAGACATAATAATGTAAATAAAGTTGATGAAAACATTTAGTTTGCACTTTTATACATATGATGATAAATTATTATTACCATAATAGATACAGTATATTGTATTACCATTAAGAAATAATTTTATGGTAATATATACGATGTTAAATTAGAATGGATTTTATAATAGATTCTTAAACACACTTGGTACATTTTATGGGACTGTAATTATGACCTCACAGATAATGACACGTGGTTATAACATCAAAAAATTGCTGGTTCCATGGATGACGTTATAATTGGGTTAAACTGTATATAGAGTCTACCTAAATGCAAAATTTCCAGCAACAAAACACTCAAATTCAGTATTCGAATGTTTTCGGCCACTTCTTTATTTACCTTCTTCAGGAAATGTAGAATGAAAATAACTGTTCTATTTATAGAATGTACTTGCATTCTAATTTTCAAAAGTTTCAAATCAGTTTGAAAAGCAGTTGTGACATATTGTAAGCAACATGTATTCCTTTAGGAGTCCAAATAATACTTCCATGCATTTGGTACAGGAATGTAATCAGTGTTGATGCACCTCCTCTTATGTTGGCCCTGTAGATTTCTGCATCCTCCAATGCTCTTATGTGTTATCTGTTGAGTCTACCCTAATATACAGGGTATTCATCTCATAAGAAAGAAATCCCCAGCTGGGCCAGAGCTGTATTGATGTTTTCTTTTGCTATGTTGTACTTGTGATCTCATAACCTGGTTTGTAATGATCTGTTTGAGTACATTAGTGTCCTGTTGAACCTATCATCCTGTAGTGGGATGAGGTAAACTCCAGGTGCTTTTTCATCCTCGTTGTCAACTTTCATGTTAGACAAAAGGCAGAACACAGTGGGTTTCCTTTTGTATGCTATGAGTACAAAAGGAAAACCACTGTCATCCTGTATATGTGATGGAGGGATAGTTCGTAGCTTAGGACTACCCGATTCCCATCTGTGTTGTTAATATTAGTATTGGTGTTGATTGACCTAGCCGAGGGGTTGGCAGTTTGTCAAGTGAGAAAAGCCAAATTGTCATGGAAACAAGATAACAAAAGTACCAGAGAGCCGCATATATATACCAGAGAGACGCCCCTAGTGCATGTTACAGGCATTCCATGACAATAATAAATTCCTATTACAAATNCCTAGCCGAGGGGTTGGCAGTTTGTCAAGTGAGAAAAGCCAAATTGTCATGGAAACAAGATAACAAAAGTACCAGAGAGCCGCATATATATACCAGACCCCAGGGAGATCGCCCCTAGTGCATGTTACAGGCATTCCATGACAATAATAAATTCCTATTACAAATATACTGAATTATTTATATTGTTATATTCGTTATATTGATATTTTTATTGGCTATTGGCCAAATGAATAATAATAATTTATACTATTAATGTAAATAATAATTTATATTGTTAATTTAAATGTGCGAAATACGACACATGACAGGGGTGCCTCTAGTATGCTATCACTCGCATGCGACTCATATTGATCAACGTGAGTGTGGTCACGTGTGGACAGGCTAAAGAGTGTTAGAGAGTATGCCGTACGAGTCAAAGTTTGTTTGGCGGCTCTATCTCATTAACTCATCAGTTATAAGGCTGCTTTGAGATGACGTGAAATTGGAGTTTATAAATGTATACTTTCTTACTGGAGACTAAAATCAATAATATAAAAAAACCATTCAAAAAGTCCAGCATAATTCTTTAATAACATAAGAACATTTTCAAATGATGGACACTTAATGCATTTGAAAATGTTCTTAAGTTATTAAAGAATTATCCTGGACTTTTGAATGATGTTTTTATATTATTGATTGGAGTTTGTCAGAAGAGCCGCAAACGTCTATGCAAAGAGCCACATGTGGCTCATGAGCCATTCCTGCCGACCCGACCTAGCCTGATACATGGATGTTATATTATTGATAAATGAGTGGCTGTACCCATGTTTGGATGCGATATGTTTCAGTTGTTTTGGACTCCTAAAGGAATATACGTTGCTTACAACAAGTCAAAACCATTTTTTGAACTGATTTGAAACTTTTGAAAATTAGAACGCAGCTACATTCTATAAATACAACAGTTATATTCATTTTACATTTCCTGAAGAAGGCCGATAAAGGAGTGGCCAAAAACATTCAAATACTGAATTTGAGTGTTTTGTAGCTGGAAATTTTGCATTAGATGAGATTCTAATAATGGTGTGAAATCATTAAAATGATCAATAGAACTAGTGACAGAGCATGGCACTAGAGGTTGCTAATTATAATGTATTACCAGAGATACTAAAACCTGAAAAAAGTGCATCTTACATTTGAGTAAATACATTTAATGAAATTTATTTATAGTAGTAAGATCATTGTAATTTCATATATTTTTAAAATTAAATTATAAAAGAATATTCATATTTTTTTAGATTAGAACGTAATTATTTTTACAAATAACATCATAAGATTTCAATGACAAAAATTATGATTTGAAATTGTATATTAAATCAAATATAATAAGCAAGACTTTTGTTTTGTTGCTTCATAATATAAGAATAAAGGTAATTTTGTATAATTTCAGTCATAAGCATAGTAGAATATTTAAAAAAAAAATTTATTTAGAAACACACTTCATATCTGTTTTATTTCAGTTCTTGCTATAATTAAGTAAATCAGTTTTATTTTTTATATAACAGTAATCCATGTTTGAATTATTAATTTTCATTCTGTATGTAGATCAGTTGAACTAAATACATTTAACTTTGCATAGCTGAATGTGTGTATGAATGATTGTACATACAAAAAAAAATTTTTTTTTCTTATTTATATCATATGAAATTTCATAGAAAAAATTTCTTTGTAGCTTTAAAACATTCTCCTTCCAAACGCAAGGCAGCTTCCATTCGACACCGACCAACTTCTGGTGTAGAATCTGATGTGCCAAAATCAGAAAGTGTTAAAATAGAAGTGGATTCTTCAAAAGAGAGTGTTACTCTACCAACAGTGACAGGTAATTCATTGTTATTTGATACAGACAATAGGGAACTGCTTATCAAAAATATTCATATTTTTATTTTAGATTTTTATCTGATGTAAGAAAAGTAGTTATAATGTCTCTTAATATATAGAAAGATAAATCATATATGCATTAATGAGAAATATATCACTCTTAAATAATTTCAGATAAATTTAAAATTAATGAAGCAACTTCAAATACATTAGTAAAGTCAAAACAAATATAAACCACAACTATGCCCAGCAGAAAACAATTAAATATGTAATCCAACACCTTATTTTTCGCTGAGAGATTATTTTTAATTAAAACAAACGTTTTCGATCCATTCATTGGATCATCTTCAGGCTAAATAGAACACTTCATAAATAGAACTACTCGTTTAAATATTCAAAAATACAAATAAACCGATAACATAAAAATAAATAATACTTGTAAATAATACAAATATTCAAAATAAATAACATAATATCATTACTAAATAATAATATCGTCTGCCTAACTATATAGAGCTTATTATTTCATACTAAATTTCCTGCGCTTTTTTTAAGCTTTTAACCGCAAACTTCCAAGCGGAAGGAAGACCCTCCGCATCTCTTGCGTTAATACATTTTTCTTCAAGTTTGCTTCTATAGATTTCTATCTTTTCAGCTGTTCTTGCCAATGCCGGCGAGTGTATCTGTTTCAGGATTTCGGCTTTATCCCAATGTATCAATGAACCTTCTGCCTGCGCCATCTGGGCCAAAACTGTCGCATTAGAACCTTTTCTGATATCATATTTGTGTTCTTTGATCCTTAAACCTAGGTTCCTAGTTGTAACCCCTACATATTCTTTCTTAATTCCTAAAAGCTGGTTCTCGTAGGGAATCTTGTACACACCCGCCTTATTTTCTTTTCTAACTACCCCTTTATCGTTTCTAAGTATTTTGTATAAATTTGGGGCTCTTTTTAAGACCATCTTTGCACCCTTCATATTTGTGATTTCTTTCATAACTCCTCCTAAATGTTTGTTGTATGTAAATTTCGTGTATTTAGAAGGACCTTGTGCCTTTTTTATATCTTTATTATCCTCTAATTTTCTAATAATTCCCTTAATCACATTCCTCTTGTAACCCAATGTTCCTGCCAATTGCATAATTCTTTCTAACTCTGCATCCCGGTCTATAACGCTTTCACAGTATATAAAGGCCCTCCTAACCAATGCTCGAAACGCTGCTATTTTATACCTATAAGGGTCATTAGAGTTTGCAGGGATATATAGTGGACTATGTGTTGGTTTAATGAATACGTTGGTGGATATACGTCCTCTCCTAAATATGATACTAATGTCTAAGAAATGTACCTTCATAGAGCTTTTTTGCTCTAGCTTCAACCTAAGACCTTCCTCGTTATCGTTAACTCTATCTACGAATTCAGCAATTGCTCGATTGTTTTTCCATAAAATGAATACATCATCTACATATCTCTTGTAGTATACAATATTTCTTTCAAAGCTACTCAGTATTTTTCTTTCTAGTTTTCTAACGACAAGCTCGCATAGGAGCCCTGAAATTGGGCTTCCCATTGGGACCCCTCTATTTTGTTTATATGTTTGGCCTTCAAAAACGAAAAAGGATTCGCAACATACTAGATTAACCATCTCTGCAACCTCATTACCGTGCTGTGCTAACATTGGGTTTACTCTATTCAAAAACTCCAAAAGTGCTTCTACACATGCTTCAATCCTAATAGAAGGGTACAAACTTTCGTAATCTAAAACAGTTCCCACTTCTTCATCCATTAAGATAAGGTCTTGTAGCTCTTTGACCACCTTCACAGGATCCTTTGCCACCAATTCATTACTTTCCATCATGGAAGAGAGATATTCTTGCAACTTTTTTTCCAGGAGAAATGTGGGTGCTTTCCGTTTTTCCACAATAGGTCTTATTTCCTTGCCCTCTTTATGAGTTTTAGCGAAGGCGAATAACCTCGGGGTCCCTGGTCTAGGGTTTCGGTATTTTTGTAAGAAAGGTAAGATCTTCGCTAGTTTTGTTCCTTCCAGCTTTTTAATCCTTCTATCAATTGCTTCAACTATATTACTATTGATTGATACTATTGAAGAACAAAGTTTTTCCGATATCTATTTATAGGCTACACATCCCAAAAGAATGCCTCTCGCTAAAACTAAGATTTTGCTATGCGTGCCTAAAGAAATCTATTAAATTTACGAAGAACAAAAAGTTTGGAATTCTGAAGCGCCTCATTGAATTGGAAAATAAGGTGTTTAATGAAAATCCTGATAAGCTTATGGATATGAACTTAGGAGTTACTCGGCTTACGGATAAAGTGTATAAGAATTTAAAAAAACGATACATCAAAAGAATGAAATGGATCATATATAAGCAAGTTCCAAAAATTAATAGGAAGAATGTTACAACTTACGTAATATGGGACCAGATTGAAGTACCAAATAGAGTAAGGGAGCTTCTGAACAAAGGCCCGAACTTTGTCCCCGAGTATGCTGGATTATGGGAAACATCATTTCAGGAGATTGAAAGAGGAATTATAGGGTTAGATCCAGTTGAGAAGGACTATATACGTTGGAAAACGGTGCTAAAAAATCAAGAAAAGTGGAAAAAAGGAAATAATAATAAGGACATCAGTTTTACTAAGAGATGGCTGAAAGAGAATAACTTAATCGCAGCAAGAGCGGATAAAAGCAAGCAAATAGTTATAATGAAAAAACAAACGTATAATAAAGCGTTAGAAGAATACATCAGAAAAACGGAATGTATTAAGATCAATAGTAATATAGTTGAAGCAATTGATAGAAGGATTAAAAAGCTGGAAGGAACAAAACTAGCGAAGATCTTACCTTTCTTACAAAAATGCCGAAACCCTAGACCAGGGACCCCGAGGTTATTAGCCTTCGCTAAAACTCATAAAGAGGGCAAGGAAATAAGACCTATTGTGGAGAAACGGAAAGCACCCACATTTCTCCTGGAAAAAAAGTTGCAAGAATATCTCTCTTCCATGATGGAAAGTAATGAATTGGTAGCAAAGGATCCTGTGAAAGTGGTCAAAGAGCTACAAGACCTTATCTTAATGGATGAAGAAGTGGGAACTGTTTTAGATTACGAAAGTTTGTACCCTTCTATTAGGATTGAAGCGTGTGTAGAAGCACTTTTGGAGTTTTTGAATAGAGTAAACCCAATGTTAGCACAACACGGTAATGAGGTTGCAGAGATGGTTAATCTAGTATGTTGCGAATCCTTTTTCGTTTTTGAAGGCCAAACATATAAACAAAATAGAGGGGTCCCAATGGGAAGCCCAATTTCAGGGCTCCTATGCGAGCTTGTCGTTAGAAAACTAGAAAGAAAAATACTGAGTAGCTTTGAAAGAAATATTGTATACTACAAGAGATATGTAGATGATGTATTCATTTTATGGAAAAACAATCGAGCAATTGCTGAATTCGTAGATAGAGTTAACGATAACGAGGAAGGTCTTAGGTTGAAGCTAGAGCAAAAAAGCTCTATGAAGGTACATTTCTTAGACATTAGTATCATATTTAGGAGAGGACGTATATCCACCAACGTATTCATTAAACCAACACATAGTCCACTATATATCCCTGCAAACTCTAATGACCCTTATAGGTATAAAATAGCAGCGTTTCGAGCATTGGTTAGGAGGGCCTTTATATACTGTGAAAGCGTTATAGACCGGGATGCAGAGTTAGAAAGAATTATGCAATTGGCAGGAACATTGGGTTACAAGAGGAATGTGATTAAGGGAATTATTAGAAAATTAGAGGATAATAAAGATATAAAAAAGGCACAAGGTCCTTCTAAATACACGAAATTTACATACAACAAACATTTAGGAGGAGTTATGAAAGAAATCACAAATATGAAGGGTGCAAAGATGGTCTTAAAAAGAGCCCCAAATTTATACAAAATACTTAGAAACGATAAAGGGGTAGTTAGAAAAGAAAATAAGGCGGGTGTGTACAAGATTCCCTACGAGAACCAGCTTTTAGGAATTAAGAAAGAATATGTAGGGGTTACAACTAGGAACCTAGGTTTAAGGATCAAAGAACACAAATATGATATCAGAAAAGGTTCTAATGCGACAGTTTTGGCCCAGATGGCGCAGGCAGAAGGTTCATTGATACATTGGGATAAAGCCGAAATCCTGAAACAGATACACTCGCCGGCATTGGCAAGAACAGCTGAAAAGATAGAAATCTATAGAAGCAAACTTGAAGAAAAATGTATTAACGCAAGAGATGCGGAGGGTCTTCCTTCCGCTTGGAAGTTTGCGGTTAAAAGCTTAAAAAAAGCGCAGGAAATTTAGTATGAAATAATAAGCTCTATATAGTTAGGCAGACGATATTATTATTTAGTAATGATATTATGTTATTTATTTTGAATATTTGTATTATTTACAAGTATTATTTATTTTTATGTTATCGGTTTATTTGTATTTTTGAATATTTAAACGAGTAGTTCTATTTATGAAGTGTTCTATTTAGCCTGAAGATGATCCAATGAATGGATCGAAAACGTTTGTTTTAATTAAAAATAATCTCTCAGTGAAAAATAAGGTGTTGGATTACACGTAGTCAAAACAAATGTTTATACATCGACATCTATTTCTGGTCCATCAATAAGCACACCAGAAAGTCCAAATACTTCATGTCTTCCACTCTCTGGTTCATCAGAAAGACACCTTATGACTTCACAAGCTGAGTCCAACGACAATAACTTCTGCAGTGATTGTATTGATAGCTTCAGCTTGAAAGACACTGTAGCAACTCATATTACAAGACAGATAGACCAGACCTGTTTCCCGCCACAGTGTCTCCTTATATACTATTTATGAGTCTGACATTTGGCCAATCAGGAGCTGTGCTGCATCAAGCTCTCCATCACATCTGCTCCAGCTAGTAGCCAATCTCGACTTAGTTCAGAACATTAACCATCTCCTTCTAGGACGCATCTAGAATGTTGTCAAAGAGGTTTTGTGTCGTTACACAATACTTCTTTGACAACATTTGAAATATATTATGCAATTTTAAGGTTCATATGATAAGTATAAAGTCACACCTTTTCTGCATTTTTTTCACACTATTAGTATAATGCTATTGTTACATAAAATAAAACATTAAGATATGACAGTTAAACATAATTATAAGGTAGTGTCATAAGAAGTTTTTAAAAAATTTAACATTTTTGACATTTGCCCGTCCATAAATATATAACTATATAAAGTTGAACCTGTATTTTGAATCTTAAGGGAATGAGAAAAAAAAAATGAGATATAAAGGTTTCCACACAGTAAGCAGTAATAGGTTTTATTGGAGTTATCTACTGTACTTGCTATTGTATTTTATTAATACAAGAGCAAGTATAGTAGATACCGCTATTAGGTATAAATAAAACACTTCTGGACAGTCAATAGTTTCCAATGCCCAGCTTTCTTTAACCAATAAGACATGAGCCAAACTCAGCCAATCAGAAATAAGCAGTATTAATTGCAACTGTATTGCAAGAGATGTTTCTCAAAATTACAATACTATAAAAAAAAACAAATTTTCTTCAATATAAAATAGTTTAAGTTTACAAAATTAAATTAATTCAATTCAATAAGACAACAAGTATTTTACTTGGGTATATGTGAATGTTAAACAAATTAAAAGTAATTATAATTTTTAAAGATTAAATAAAATTTTTAATTAAAATTTAAACTTATGATCAGCTTTTAATATGTTCATGTTTTATTTTATTTTTTCATACTAAATTCAATGGTAATTTTGTACTTAATCCAGACACTTTCATATAATTAATAATTATAAAATTGTTAATCTAACATCTCTTCTGTATGCTTTTTATCTCTAGGAAATTATGTTGTTTTATAAATAAGTTATAATAAATTTTATTATAAGATTAGATTTATTTATTTGAATTTTAGGTAGTTTTGATGTATATCCTCCTGCAATAGATGTTACTTCCAGTCCAGCTTTGAATGTTGTAACTACTACATCAACTTTACCTAATATTGTTAGTGTTTCAACAGGGAAAGATGTCGCTTCAACATCAAAATTGATACAAGAGAAACAAAAAACAGTTCGCTGTAATACAGATCCACTTGTCAGTACAAGATCTGTAGGAGTGAGAAGTGTAACCAGAATAGATAAAACATTTGTTACAATAGATAAAACAGAAGTGATTAGGTAAGAGATTTTTTTAAATTCTGATAAATAATATATTAAATAATTAATAAGAGAGTCATGATGATGATATAAAATATTTTCTTAAGAATTTCATTTATATATAAAATTGATTTTATTTTAATTAATATTAAAAATTATTAACTCAATTTTTATGATGTTAGTAAATTAATTTTTAATTGATCAGGTACTTTAGTTTAAGGTTTAAGCAAAAGTTTTAATTTGTATGCAGAAATTCGGTATTATTTATTAAAGAGACATTTTAATCGTCAGCTGAATGGCCAAAGCAGTTAAGGTGTCTGGATTGAATCTGTGGTGGAAAAACCCCCAGAATTTTTTAGGAATGGCCTTCTCAGACAGTGCTGTGCCATTAGCTGATATATCAAACAAACTGATGGATATTTATGATATTGATATCAATATTGTAAATATTTTAGTTTGATATACTGATTATCAGCACTAATTGTGAGAATTGTAATGCCCTCTCCAGAATTTTTAATACTTTAGTGCTATTTTCTGACAGGAAATTATTATATTGAAAGAAGTAGCTGTGATGATTATTATAATTAACAAATATCAGATTATTGATATTCAGCATCAATGATAAACATTGGTATTTTGTTGGTTTCAATATTTATCTAGAGTATCAATATTGATATTATAAGCAGTTGTTTTGGATTGATACATCAATTACTGGTATTTCATTATTGATAACTTTCAGTAATCATTGATATATTGAAGAAATATCAGTGTTAAGTCTGATATTGATGTCAAAGCTTTGGTTTAGTACAGCGCTAGTCCCAGAATATAATGATGAGCCTAGAAAAGAGGCCTTGTTAGTGCCCACAGAGAAGAAAAAATAAAAAAAAAATACGCATACATTTGGAAAAAAATTATTATTAAAATATTTTAGAAATTAGGACTAAATGAATACATAAAGTGTTCTATTTAGCCTGAAGATGATCCAATGAATGGATCGAAAACGTTTGTTTTAATTAAAAATAATCTCTCAGTGAAAAATAAGGTGTTGGATTACACGTAGTCAAAACAAATGTTTATACATCGACATCTATTTCTGGTCCATCAATAAGCACACCAGAAAGTCCAAATACTTCATGTCTTCCACTCTCTGGTTCATCAGAAAGACACCTTATGACTTCACAAGCTGAGTCCAACGACAATAACTTCTGCAGTGATTGTATTGATAGCTTCAGCTTGAAAGACACTGTAGCAACTCATATTACAAGACAGATAGACCAGACCTGTTTCCCGCCACAGTGTCTCCTTATATACTATTTATGAGTCTGACATTTGGCCAATCAGGAGCTGTGCTGCATCAAGCTCTCCATCACATCTGCTCCAGCTAGTAGCCAATCTCGACTTAGTTCAGAACATTAACCATCTCCTTCTAGGACGCATCTAGAATGTTGTCAAAGAGGTTTTGTGTCGTTACACAATACTTCTTTGACAACATTTGAAATATATTATGCAATTTTAAGGTTCATATGATAAGTATAAAGTCACACCTTTTCTGCATTTTTTTCACACTATTAGTATAATGCTATTGTTACATAAAATAATACATTAAGATATGACAGTTAAACATAATTATAAGGTAGTGTCATAAGAAGTTTTTAAAAAATTTAACATTTTTGACATTTGCCCGTCCATAAATATATAACTATATAAAGTTGAACCTGTATTTTGAATCTTAAGGGAATGAGAAAAAAAAAATGAGATATAAAGGTTTCCACACAGTAAGCAGTAATAGGTTTTATTGGAGTTATCTACTGTACTTGCTATTGTATTTTATTAATACAAGAGCAAGTATAGTAGATACCGCTATTAGGTATAAATAAAACACTTCTGGACAGTCAATAGTTTCCAATGCCCAGCTTTCTTTAACCAATAAGACATGAGCCAAACTCAGCCAATCAGAAATAAGCAGTATTAATTGCAACTGTATTGCAAGAGATGTTTCTCAAAATTACAATACTATAAAAAAGTACCAAATAGAGTAAGGGAGCTTCTGAACAAAGGCCCGAACTTTGTCCCCGAGTATGCTGGATTATGGGAAACATCATTTCAGGAGATTGAAAGAGGAATTATAGGGTTAGATCCAGTTGAGAAGGACTATATACGTTGGAAAACGGTGCTAAAAAATCAAGAAAAGTGGAAAAAAGGAAATAATAATACAGACATCAGTTTTACTAAGAGATGGCTGAAAGAGAATGACTTAATCGCAGCAAGAGCGGATAAAAGCAAGCAAATAGTTANAAAAAGTATTCTTCATGGATTTTGTTTTTTATAATATGCAATATGTCACAAAAAAAGAAATTCATGTATATTATCTACTTTCAAAAAGTTTATTTCATTTTTCATTAACAAAAATCTAACATTTAAGTACAAAATAATATTAAGTTACAGATTCTTGAGATTTGCTGTCAGTTTGTCAATTATTTGAATGTCTTTCTTTTCTCACAAGAAATTTGTTTTAATTAAGCAAGAAACAGTATCTCTCTTCTTATTTCTCCTGATGCTTTTTTAATGTAAACATTAGTTTATTGTTTCACTGAGTGATTGGTTTTCATATTAAAGATGACATAATTTATTTTAGACTGCTCAGATTCAGTCAAATCTATTTTACTGAGGAAAAAGAAATCTCACTTTATAATTCTTAATATTTAATTACATGATTTTTCTTTGACTTCAAAAGGAAAATAGTTTTAAAAAATTTATTTGAATGGTTTATGTAACTTAAAAGTTTGTTTAAAGATACAAAATTGAACTGTAAATTATCATCTAAGATTGTCACAAGAGTTTTAGAAAACAAATTAAAAGTATCGGAAATTCATTTTTAGAAAACATCAAACCAGTCTTAATAATACAGTGTGTCTGTAAATGTTCTCAATTTTGAAAATTTATTATTTAGTGAGTCTGCAAGGAAATATATATATATTTCCTTGCAGACTCATATATATGAAACAGCATCTCAAAAAGTTATTATACATAAAAAAACCAAAAAAAAAACTAGATAAATTTACCTTGAGCCCCACAAGTCAAGAGAAAATATAATTTTTTTTTTTGCCATAAGATGAAGATATCATCCACATACCTAGCATATAATAGAATGAGATGTTAAAACACAGGAAGAATTGCATTTTCCAAGTAGCTGATGTCATCAGCTACTTAGCTGGAATGACATTGTACTAATATTCAACTTCTTGCCACACATTATGAATCATGTCATGATCAACTTTCACACAAGAATCATTTATTCATTGCTTTAATTCTTCAGTTATTGTCAATAGTGGAGAGACATAGACACGTACTGTGTTTAACAAATCCCCATAGAAAGAAAATTCAAGGGCATCAGAATATAATGTGATTTATTATAGTACTTCTGAATCTACTGTGGAATCTTCAGGCAGTGTAATTTCTGAAACCAGTAGTTCAACTACATCAGGTTTAGGTTCTACTATAAGAACTGTAACTTGGACACCTCCACAAGGCTCTACACCTACTCATACTGAAGGCACACCTTCATTTACAGAATCAAGTTCGAGTGGTGATATAGGTTTGTGAAATGTTTTATTCTTTTACAAATAAATCCTAACACATTTGATGGGACAACATGAAATATATGAATTAAAATTAGAAACAGTTCCTAATTTTTAACTCATTCTGCTGCTGATGGAATTGTATTATAATTCAGTTATTATTTTCTAGATTATAAAAATGTAATTCATTTTTCATTATATAATTTTTCTTTTAATAAAGATGAGAAATTGTGTATGTTTCCTTCAACACCTGTAAAAGGAAGTCAGCATGACTCTCAAGCTTCCATACCAGATTCAACAAATTATCAAGAAACTGAAATGGTAAATGTTTTAATCCTTATGTACACTATTGCATAGTATTTTATCATAATACAATATATTTAGTTTAATTAGAAAATGGTAAATTTATTTTTAATATTGTGATATACTTTTTCAAATTTGTGAAGTGTTCCTTTATTTATAAGATATTTTATAATTTTANTGATTTAAAAAAAAAAAAGTAAATCGACGTGAACGAGATTCTTTGAAAATTTACTGAAGAAATATCAATTTACCGTTAAATACGTTGAAAGAAAATCGGTTTTAAAGAGAATATTTAGGAAAGAATCGGGTTTAAAAAATCTAGAAAAGGTAAAGAATCAATTCTTGGATATATTCCAGCAATTCTCGTCATGCCAAGATAGCAGCACTTGGACATTCTAGGCACATGCAATGCATTTATTAGCTTTTAAGCAAAATTTAATAAATATAACCTACATGCATATGGATGGCAATTTTGTTAATGAATAAAATTATCATTTAACAGCATTAAAAATGTCAAACCCTTAGTAAAATTCTTTCTACTCTTGAATCGAAATTTTCAATTTTAAAACTTCGAAATTAAGACTGGAAAAAAGTACATAAAATTTCTTAAAATTAAAGCAAATAATATCCCATATAAACATATAGGCCTATATATATATATATATATATGAAAGTATAACCTATAAATAACGAAGATGCAAATGATGAATGCTAAACTTTAATGAAGTAATCTATAATTTCAATAGAAGATATTTTTTAAAAAATTTTGAAATTTTCCTATGTTTAAATTCGCTAACAATGATGCCTAATTAGGTTCTGTAGACAGTGATGTGTTGTCTAGGAAACCAGAAGAAGAAAATTATATAGAAAGCGATTTTAAGAGGATCAAAAAACAAAACAAAAAAATTCACCTGAATATACTTAAATTGATAACAAGAACAGAAATGAATATAGTTACTAACCGAGAAATAAAGTTTAAAAAATGTATTTATTTATCTTTTTCTGGTTTATATACCATAACAATCTTATTAAAAGATAATTAAAAGTTTAAAGTGATAATACTAAATAAAAAGCATCAAATTTCTGTATAGAAAAAGAGTGTAAGATGAGGAGGAGTAAGGATCAAATTCTTGTGTTTTCTAATGCTTAATAATAATAATAATAATAATGAGAATTAGCTTTTATTATATACTTTACTTTATAAGATTTAATAGAGTTAAATTTCTTTACAAAAAGTCAAATTTTTATTTGATCCTCTTCCTTTCATAAGCTTAATATTAAACAAAAACATATAAATTTTAATTGAATTATGTTTTAATTTTTTATAAACCATTTATGATAATTACTTTGGTTAAAATTATAACGTAATAAAATTTATATTAACCGTGCCAAATCAATTAATATTATTAATTTAGACAAAAACTTCTATACTAAAAAAAAAAACCTTCAGTGTANTTTATTTATAAGATATTTTATAATTTTATATTTAAATATAAAATTTTATGAAATTATATAGTAAGTAAATAAATAAATACGGAACAGAAATAAAATAACAACTACTCTTGTGCTATTTTATAACATTTTCAAACCCAAAATCAGGTTCTGTATTATTTCACAAAATCTTTAAAATTTTATACGTTATCAAATCAATGATTATTGTTTCATTGATTAATTTTTCTTTTTATAGAAAATTTTGAAGTTTCTGTCATTATTAGAATTTTCAAAATAATAATAGTAATAAAAATACAAATGTTTACAGTAAGTACAGTACAATATCTCAGATTGTACTGTACTTTAGATTTTATTTATTTATAGGTTTCTGTTTTTTTTTTTGTACATTAAAAAAAGTTATACTTAACTTTGTATTGGTAAGAACTTAGTAAGACAAGTTTCAAATAACAGTTATTTTATTAAAAACAGTGAAAAATCAGAATATTTGAAAAGGTTATTTATTTGTTACTATCAAACATAATATGTTTAGTAATTTCCCCAGAAGTTTTTACAAGCTAAGTGCAATTAGTAGCAAAGTAGAGCGGAAAACAAAAAAAATACTTAGAAATTTTATAAAAATTTCCTGTTATTGGTAAATACAACAATGAAAAAATTCAGAAATAGTTATAGTTTGTTAATTGGGTAAAGCATGATGATATACACTTACGAGCAAGAAGTGATTTTTTTTTTTATATATATATTGAATTTCATAATTTGACAATTACTTAATTTTCATTTTAATTTATTGAGTAATCAATGAGGTAACCTTAGATTGATTTTATTAATAATGACAGAAGCATTTCTTTATTGATGTTTTAAATCAGCTATGGCTTATTAATTAAGCATAATTAAAAATATTTTGTCTACATAAATTGAATTTATTAGTAAAGACTTTGGCAAATATTTTAAAAAATTTCTTCCTTTTTTTTTGTCATGTCTCAATCGCGAGCGTGACGCGTAGAAGTTCGATTTTCGAGGTGAAAAAAAATATACCAAAAATAAAAATATTAGGAAAGTTAACGTTACGAAACGTCTTACGAAGTTCGAAAGGTATTCGGCTAAAGTTTCTTCCAAATTGGAACTTGCCAAACCAGATGCCATACTATGTGGCAAAGATGAATGAACAAAACATTCGTCTAAAACGAGGTGTCCCTGACTTTTTAAGCTTTGCCACATCGTTGCCACGTATATATATATATTATATCCTCGTTGGGAACCTACGCCCTTCCTTTATACTGTATAAAAATTAAATTTTATTTTACAGGTTAATATGCATACTATTTATAAATTGTTAAATTCAAATACAATTGACAACTGATTATTAATTACAGTATATAATGCTTTTCTAAAGACTTATCTACTTTTCTTCTTTAATATCCTATAGTTAAAGATGCTGACGACCGTAATTTATAAGGAAAAAAAATAATAATGTCTACAGGACTGATTTATGTTAATCATTAATCATTACAGATCTACTTATATATATATATATATATATTATTATTAAAAGTAAAATTTCGATTTAAAGTGTTTTCTAATATGACTGTATATTAAATACAATTATCTTATTTTTATGTCCTGTGACTACATAGCTCGTTATCTATATATTAAAGTGTTCCTAAAATTAGAGTCCAGTTCATAGAGACACTTCTGGATGATGTTACAATATACAACCGGTGACCCTGATAGAGTTCATAAGTTGAGAAATAACACGAAGATAAGATTAAGAAAACTATTTGTTAGTCTGCAGAAATCTTGTAAATTAATAGCTATTAATCTACTAATTGCATATCAATTAGGTAAGTTTTGTAATTAAAATTTTTCTCTCTACTTTTTTTCCTTTTAAAACTTGTGTTTTTAACTTTTAAATTAGACTTGTTAGTCTCATGATAGTAATTGAATACGATCAGGCAACCTGTCTTACCTATAAATCTTTAATCCATTAAATATTATTCCATTTTTCAAAGACGATTTATCTATCAGACTTGTAAATCAATAATAAGGATATATTGTATATCATTCAAAAATCATTATGATATAGCTTCGAGTGATAAGTTTATATAGCTTTTTATATATATATATATATATAGGCCTATACATATATAAGCTTACGTTTTACGTGTGTGTGTACAGAATTGTTTATTATAAATATTTAAATTAAATCTATAAAACTAAAATTAATATTATATATACTAAATGTTGACCTTTATAGGCCTAGACCTATATTAATACAGATATAAATTGAGATAATATATAAAATATATTCGTATCATATTTTGAAATTTGATATTACATATCATGCATATTTTAAAATTTTTTAAACATGGAGTCACATCTTTTCTTATTACTTAATGTTATATAGAAATAAATTATTATTAAAGTGTAGATCTAGTTTAATCATATAAACACAGTACATATGCTATAATATGATTTATATATTTGCATAAATTCATTGCATACATATACACCTATTTAAAGAAATTATATTAAAAAATAATCTATTTTTGTATGTTATTATGGGCATGAAAAATTTATGCAACTGTAAATCGATTTTTTTAATAATTATATGTTACTTTATGGTATATATATATATATATATTTTAAACATTCGTTTATAGATAATTATCTTTAAGAATTATTTTAAAAATTTAAAAACTGTAACAGATCGATTATTTCTAAAATTAAACATATAATAATTTTTTTTTCTCCTGTTAATCAGTTAAAAATGTTTAAAAAAAATGTCGAAAAACTCATCGACTTTAAGAGAAAATTGAAGAAATTTTAGTAGAAAAAATTGGCTTTTTAACAACGTCTCAGGTACATAATGTAGAATTTTTGATGAAAAAAAAATAAAATAAAAGTAACAATAAATAATAATAATAATAATAATTTATCGTGACACGAAATTTTGCCAATAGAGGGCATTTTTTGTCACGCTTTCACGCAACTTGTGTCGTAGTGTAGCAGAAAGGTGCCGCTATTGGACAAGTACGCACGTGGTTAGAGTTACCACGCCATCCACGTGGCTGCGCGCATGGCAACGGCTCTGTTATTGTATAGCCTGGGGACAGGGAGAAAGAGGTGCGTATTTACTTCATTTTGCCAGCTGACTCTTGCCAGGGCCAATTTAATCGTTTATTAAACCACCCACTGCACCGCGATCGAATATCCTGCATCGCAGTACTACCAATAGATGCGGTAAGTGTAATACACAACATGCAAATATCCTCTACTATTATAAATGGCTTCGGATGGAACAGGTGGCGAAGTAAACGATCCGGGCGTGTATATAATACCGGTTAAATATTTTTATAATGTGCAATTTCCACTTCACACATGCATTGCTACATTCACCACACACATACAGGCACCACGTGACCGGTGTAACCAGATCCTTGAAGTGTTAAAACCGAGTTATGATAATTGAGAAAGTCCCCGTAAGTAATTGATTCGACTCTTTCTTATACTATTATTATTTTTTTTATAATGTTATTTTATTTTATTTTTATTATTTTTTTTTCTTCCTTTTTTTTTGTCATGTCTCAATCGCGAGCGTGACGCGTAGAAGTTCGATTTTC